ATATAATCATATATATATATATATGTAAAAAGTATAACTACATATATATATATATAAGTTATCATGTACTATGGTTATCTTGAGGACAATAAGGGGACAAATTGTTCTCGAATTTCTTCAGAGCACTTCGGGCCTGGGGCTTTGAAGATCAGGGACTGGTAACATGATACTCGTTCTTACCAAAGGGAACCCATCGTTCGATCAGGATCGGAATGAAAGAAAGCGGCTATGAACGCAGCCACTGCAGGCCCGAAGTAGATATCAAGCCCACAGTAGATACATGCTATCTATATATTCTTTGTTCTGTCTGCTCTCTTCTTGTCTGCATTTTTCGGGTTGGTACACCCTGAACCGGAAACCCTAAGCCAACCTCCCTGTGGGCCTGCAGCTGCTCATAAACGTCTAGTCGGGGTAGCTGCTGGGCGCTGGAGGACAGAAGACGCAAACCGTACCTTCCGAGCTGCGCTGCGTAGGTTATACGAGGAATATATATATATATATGTATACATATACATTATATATATACGGTTTAGGGAGCTCGGTTGAAGGCCTTTGCAACAATTTTATACACAACTGTAACAACTGTATACTAAATGACACTGCAGCAGCTTATACCTGATCTCTGCTATCTTTGGAGCGAGTCTCAAAAATCGGGTCTGTGGAAGCTTGGCGCTTAGGGCACAATGTAAATAGAGTTGAACCACGTGAACATGTTCAGAGTTCCCTAACTAGGGTATACCGCACCACCATTAACGGATCCCTTGTCTCCAATAGATTGTACGCCGGAAATGTGTTATGAGTCCTTAGGCCCTTGTTGTATGTCAGTTGAGACTACTTTTAAACGGTCATGGGCATGCCACTCGCGAGTTGTTTTTAGACCCAAGAACTCCGAAGACTTGATAGAAGCCGTGCGCTTCTTGCAACTCAGTTCTTGGTAAGTTTGGGTCTTGGGCTCGCAGGTGACAGTCTAGGGCTGACGATTGGGAGTCTACTGTGAAGAGCTTGTGACAAGTCCACCATGCAGCAACAGATAAATTTCACAAGGGACTAGTGTGGGTACGGTGTTACAGCACGGCCCTAAAACATTCTTCTTAAGGGACTGTTACTTTGTACTGCGGATTCTGGCAGTAAATGATTTAAACCTTCCACCCCCGCGTGCCAACAGCTCCTAAACACTCGCAGCCAAAAGCCAAAATATGCGACACATCGTCTTAAACAACTCCCTGTGCTGGACCTCACGGTTCACTCTGACACTACATTGAAAGCGCCTTTACCTCGAAGGGAAAACTCGAATTCAAAACGACTTTGATCCTGAACCTTTTCAGCAACTCACAGCGGTCCAATGAACTCCCTCAAAACCCCAAAGCAACCGAAATCAGGGGGAGAGAAAACACACGGTCAAAAAGACCCCGCACCTTCAACACCTGGGACCCTCACACTAAAACTCCAACCCACAATCCGAAAACCCCGAAACCCCGAAGACCGATCCCATTGGTGCCTTGCTGGGTTAGCCTGGAGAGCCCGGGGTGGATCCTGAGAATCTTCTACTCCATTAGGATCAGAGACTACGGTTGATGATATACATCCTGCATTACCCATAATAAAGAATAGACCATTATTATAAGGATGTATATCAGCAACCGTAGAGTTTAAGGTCTACGGTCAGGGTTGTAGCGTTGAAGGGCGGAGGAGTGCAGTGCTATGTTTTTGAAGTGTGTCTTGTCCTTAGGAGGCTCTTAAGCGCGATGGGCACTGACTTTGTTTTTGGGAAGGCTGGTGTTGTCATGAAGTTTCATACGAGGCTTCCTACTGCTTTGGCTAGATACCAGTAAGACTTAGGCAGCTTAGGGCTTTCGGGATTGAGCTAAACGTCCCGGCTAAACCCAAAGGTTACAATCCAGAAGACCCCCAACCAAGCCAAGGGTGCCCTCCCCCCCTCCCAAAAAAAAGAAGGCAAATCACAGCACCCGAGAACCCTGTGAAAGAACATTAACCAAATCCCACACCCCTAACACCTATACTAATACCCTAATCCCTATTACTCTAAACACCCTATAAGGCCTAAACCCTGAACCCTAATCCCCTAAAAGACCCTATAAGCCCTAAACCCTAAACCCATTCCCTTTACAACCCAAAACAATCCCTATAAGCCCTAAACCCTAAAGCCTAATCTCTATAA